GCCTCGCGATTACAAAGTCGCATGCGGACTCCGAGCACCCGCAAATGCAAGCAATGCGCCGACGACGTCACACAACGGAGTACGCGGAAATTGAATATCTCCGCGGAACAGCGCCTCAGACGACAAAATAAATCGCCACGACGGCAGGCGCTGGCGCATTCCGGCGGTCGAAGGTCAAACGGCGCCCCAGGGCACCGGTCAGAGCCGCGGAGCCGACGGTGGTCAGGGCCGGCCGTCCGAGCCGATTGAGCCGGGTAATCGGACCAGATTGGCGGCGCACGGCTCATCGGGGATCGCTTTCGGCTGCCGCCGCTCCCCGTGACGCCAGCGGTGACGTCAGACGCTGCCGCCGGCGGTCGGCTGACGGGCCAATGAGCGCCGCTGATCTGCCGTGGGCCGCGCACTGAGGCGAATGGCGCTGCCTACCTGGGCGGCGCAATGTCCCTCGCTCGTGCTGGCTTCCGTTTGCTCCGGTGGCCTGTTCGTATGTACCTGGTTGGGGAAGAAATAGTTTTGATGCCGAGACGCTCAGAGCTCGGCGTACGGGGGAAATTGGCAAGGAATATCCGCAGCACATATCATCCTGCTATGCCCATCTTCCTGTATAGCACTTGCTCTCCGGGCGATGTGGTGCGGCAACGGAGAGCGAACGAGTTTAAAAAATGTCTGCCACGACTTGGTCACGGCCGCATGTCTCGCAGGCCGAAGCGGGGCGCGGCCAGGAATTGCCCGCCAACCGACCCGCAGTACGTCGGTGCATGACGGCACAGTCTACCGTGCCGGTGACGTTTGGGGAGGGGCGCTGCCCCCGAACCCTACCCACTGCACCTGGGCGTGCAATAATTCGTAACATAAATGGAGTAGATACACCATGACTTTGATACGCTCTTTGGTGGGGGTATCGCGGTGCATTGTTGGTGTTAAAGTTGGCATTCATCCTGGGTGTTACAACCGACACCCCTTCGCCATTGAAGGAAGTGTTCCACTTCTACATCGGGTTTTGATCTGTAATCGCCATCTTGAAGATCTTCGGTGGAGTTCATAGTCCTGCTCTCCTTAAGACATAAATCCTTTTAGTTTCTGGGTCATACGCTCGCGAAGGTGCGTAGGCTTCTTCGGAGAAGTTATTTCAATGTCACCCAGACATCCATGACGCCATCATGACGTCATTAAATCCTACCACTCCATTAGCCATGCGGCGGTCAAGGCCACTAAAAATACAATCGCGGAATTGCTCATATCTGGCGTTGGTGAACAGGACCGCAATATATAACGGCCGTCAATTGTCTATCAATCAATGTCGCACAAGGTACGATGGCGTGATCAAATAATGACGTATTGAGCTGCATATTTACTAAACAGCAAAATTGTGTTGTCTATAGTAGCTACTTCCCCTCAAAATTATAACAATAGTCCTAAGTGAGCTTATGCCATCATTTCTGATGCTTGCCTCAATATCTTCAAATGCAGTTAGGGAAGGAAACTGCACGATGTCCAAAACTGTGGATGAACTGTGAACTGTGAACCAAAACTGTGGTCCAAACTGTGGATGGTCCAAACTGTGGATGGTCCAAAGCGTGGATGGTCCAAAGCGTGGATGGTCCAAAGCGTGGATGGTCCAAAGCGTGGATGGTCCAAAGCGTGGATGGTTCAAAGCGTGGATGGTCCAAAGCGTGGATGGTTCAAAGCGTGGATGGTCCAAAGCGTGGATGGTCCAAAGCGTGGATGGTCCAAAGCGTGGATGGTCCAAAGCGTGGATGGTTCAAAGCGTGGATGGTCCAAAGCGTGGATGGTCCAAAGCGTGGATGGTCCAAAGCGTGGATGGTTCAAAGCGTGGATGGTCCAAAGCGTGGATGGTCCAAAGCGTGGATGGTTCAAAGCGTGGATGGTCCAAAGCGTGGATGGTCCAAAGCGTGGATGGTCCAAAGCGTGGATGGTCCAAAGCATGGATGGTTCAAAGCGTGGATGGTTCAAAGCGTGGATGGTCCAAAGCGTGGATGGTCCAAAGCGTGGATGGTTCAAAGCGTGATGGTCCAAAGCGTGGATGGTTCAAAGCGTGGATGGTCCAAAGCGTGGATGGTCCAAAGCGTGGATGGTCCAAAGCGTGGATGGTCCAAAGCGTGGATGGTTCAAAGCGTGGATGGTTCAAAGCGTGGATGGTCCAAAGCGTGGATGGTCCAAAGCGTGGATGGTTCAAAGCGTGGATGGTCCAAAGCGTGGATGGTTCAAAGCGTGGATGGTCCAAAGCGTGGATGGTCCAAAGCGTGGATGGTCCAAAGCGTGGATGGTCCAAAGCGTGGATGGTCCAAAGCGTGGATGGTCCAAAGCGTGGATGGTCCAAAGCGTGGATGGTTCAAAGCGTGGATGGTCCAAAGCGTGGATGGTCCAAAGCGTGGATGGTTCAAAGCGTGGATGGTCCAAAGCGTGGATGGTCCAAAGCGTGGATGGTCCAAAGCGTGGATGGTCCAAAGCGTGGATGGTTCAAAGCGTGGATGGTTCAAAGCGTGGATGGTCCAAAGCGTGGATGGTCCAAAGCGTGGATGGTTCAAAGCGTGGATGGTCCAAAGCGTGGATGGTTCAAAGCGTGGATGGTCCAAAGCGTGGATGGTCCAAAGCGTGGATGGTCCAAAGCGTGGATGGTTCAAAGCGTGGATGGTCCAAAGCGTGGATGGTTCAAAGCGTGGATGGTTCAAAGCGTGGATGGTCCAAAGCGTGGATGGTCCAAAGCGTGGATGGTTCAAAGCGTGAATGGTCCAAAGCGTGGATGGTTCAAAGCGTGGATGGTCCAAAGCGTGGATGGTCCAAAGCGTGGATGGTCCAAAGCGTGGATGGTCCAAAGCGTGGATGGTCCAAAGCGTGGATGGTCCAAAGCGTGGATGGTCCAAAGCGTGGATGGTCCAAAGCGTGGATGGTCCAAAGCGTGGATGGTCCAAAGCGTGGATGGTCCAAAGCGTGGATGGTCCAAAGCGTGGATGGTCCAAAGCGTGGATGGTCCAAAGCGTGGATGGTCAAAGCGTGGATGGTCCAAAGCGTGGATGGTTCAAAGCGTGGATGGTCCAAAGCGTGGATGGTCCAAAGCGTGGATGGTCCAAAGCGTGGATGGTCCAAAGCGTGGATGGTCCAAAGCGTGGATGGTTCAAAGCGTGGATGGTCCAAAGCGTGGATGGTCCAAAGCGTGGATGGTCCAAAGCGTGGATGGTCCAAAGCGTGGATGGTCCAAAGCGTGGATGGTCCAAAGCGTGGATGGTCCAAAGCGTGGATGGTCCAAAGCGTGGATGGTCCAAAGCGTGGATGGTCCAAAGCGTGGATGGTCCAAAGCGTGGATGGTCCAAAGCGTGGATGGTCCAAAGCGTGGATGGTCCAAAGCGTGGATGGTCCAAAGCGTGGATGGTCCAAAGCGTGGATGGTCCAAAGCGTGGATGGTCCAAAGCGTGGATGGTCCAAAGCGTGGATGGATGCACCGTGGATGCATCCTAACGATGTCTCAAATGAACATTAAGTACAAGCTTTTACAGCCGCATTGACAAAAAAATACATTTAGCATATATATATATATATATATATATATATATATATATATGTGTGTGTGTGTGTGTGTGTGTGTGTGTGCGTGTGTGTGTGTGTGTATGTGTGTGTGTAATGAATGCGCAAATCTCATTTTTGCATCAAAATTACATTCTCCTGTTCGACGCTGCGATCCTCGCTGTGATAACTTTGGTGTGGCAATGCATCAAACATCACTGTTAATTGGCATAGCGGTACAGTTTTATTACTTGCCCCTGATGTCGAATAAAAAAATTTATTTCAGTTGTTCATTGCGTGCGAGAGATAGCATTTTCCAACTCATGCATTTAACTACATGGTTTTTATCTGCTCAAATTATGGTGGTCAAAGAAGCGATCAAAATGGAGAAGCCCCGTATACGACGAATAGCAAATTAACCACCAAAAGCGACGCATCCAAAATGCAAAGGACAAATGAGAAATTCCTCCACCCGGCTGCGATGCGATGTGACTTGTGGGATGGTTCTAGCTTAGCTAATGCTTCTAATGATCTTCAGCTTAATTTAGCTGGCATTATGCATATTCAAACTATTGAGTTATTCAGATTAAATTATACTTAAATAAATCATACTGTTAATTATACTTTAATTGTACTGTTCATTAAATTATACTTAAAAAAACTTTGCCCCGCCCCTTCATTATACTCTGCTATCTCATTGCCCACAGTTACATAGGTATATCTGCATCTTTATTTATTGGTGCATCCCTAATCTTTAGTTCTGTCGCACTGGCATCCTGCAACACATAACGTCAAAGGTGGCTACCAAAGCAGACAAAGCCCCTCTGCAGGTTACAGCCAGAGTGATATGATGAGATCACTGGTGTCGGAGCCATCCGGAGGGCAGAAACGTCCCAAAGTGTGGATGGTCCAAAGCGTGGATGGTCCAAAGCGTGGGTGGTCCAAAGCGCGGATGGTCCAAAGCGTGGATAGTCCAAAGCGTGGATGGTCTAAAGCGTGGATGGTCCAAAGCGTGGATGGCCCAAAGCTGTGGATGGTCCAAAGCGTGGATGGTCCAAAGCGTGGATAGGTCCAAAGCGTGGATGGTCCAAAACCGTCTTTGTGAAGTCAGTGTACTCCAAGCATGAGCATAGGGCTGATACTTAGTTCCAGTGTATGAAACCAATCGATGCTTCTGCTTCCAGAGGCCTGCTGGCGGCAGCGAAACGTCTACAGCTGGGACAGTCGTTCTACTGGATCGCCAGCGACGGCTGGGGCAAGCAGGAGAGCCTGGTGCAGGGCGTGGAGGAGGTAGCCGAAGGCGCCATCACCGTCGAGCTCACGTCCAAGCACATTCCGGCCTTCGATGCCTACATGGCTTCGCTCACGCCCGACAACAACGCCAGGAACCCCTGGTTCAGGGAGTACTGGGAGGCGTTCTTCGACTGTCCACTGGAGCCGGCAGCTTCGAACATCACGTGCGACCCCGACTTGCGACTGCTGCCAGAGAACGGCTTTGTGCAGGAGTCCAAGGTGCAGTTCGTCATCGATGCCGTGTATGCGTTCGCGTACGCCCTGCAGACGCTGCAGCTGGAGGTGTGCGGAAACGCCTCTTACGTATGCCCAGGCATGAGGAAGTACGACGGGGGTGCCTTCTACAAGAAGTACCTGCTCAGCGTCTCCTTCAAAGGTGAGTCACCCGACGTGCAAGATCATTCGTTTTGATGCAGTTTCCATGTAAATTGAAGGAAGGAGCGCAGCGTTACACGCGTTTTACTGCTGCGTTCATGGTGTGGCGCTGTTGAAGAGCGGTTGTGTTGTGTTGGAGAGCGGACGATAATCTTCGGCGCGTATTTCCTGGCGTTCCCTCCAACGCCATCGCCTGACCCACGTCACTGTCACGTGACTTCGAAATCGCGGTAGGCTGTTCGGAGAGTTCCGCTTGCGTTGTTGGGTTAAAACTGCTACATTGTCTTTTCATGAAATCTTAAAGCATGAACATCTTGTGAGCATGTGTCTGAACTGCATTGTTGTTCTTACCATTCATAAGGCATGGCACTGAAGAGCAATCAAAGTGTTGTTTGGGAAGTGATAAGTCAGCGCCTTTCTTCACTAATGATATCAAATAAGATTGAGACCTGGGATTGTGAGACTTGCCTCCCTAAGATGTTTCCTATTTCCATTTAGTGAGCCATCAGTGGCATTTTACGAGACTAAGAAATTAGTGACACCCAAGAGACTAATGCTGGATATTGTGTTATTTGTCACGGCTTGACTGATCCATACTCGATCTGTTGAACCCTGGAGGTTTATTTGTTGAAAGTTGTAGCGTGGTGTGCAGAGTCATTCCAGATATCACATATAACAAATAGGTCACCAACGATGATTATCTTTTACTAAAAATGTTCGCCTTAGAAAATCTCATCGCTATGAGGACAAACGTCCAGCTCATCTCCAAGTCGGTCTTCTCGTTCATTGGCAAATAAGGCCGCGGTGAGCTTACGATTATGCTATCATTATTGCTGGCATGCATCACCAAAGTTTAATATTTAACTTAAATAGCTCGGCCAGGAAATACAAGAACAAAAAGAAAAGGATAATAAAGATGGAAGTTTCTTTTTCGATCTGCTTTTGACAGAAGATCTGTGGTGCAGTTATGGTCCTATTTTCTTATGAAATGCAATCGTGATTTACAGTGAGATTATAATCGTATTGCACACTTCGGAGCAATTGCATGAACAACACGCATCAAGTGGCTTGAGAAATAGGCTTGATTTTCCCGACTCCCACCTGCTCAATGGCGTGAAATTAATATGAATGACTTTGTCAGCTGACCCAGACTTGGTCATTAAACTACGAGGATTAGTCTGGAACTTTAAAATTACTGTTTGCACTCCTCTGCATTTGTCAAACGCACGGGAGCCTCACTGGATTAGTAGGAAATCCCATTTTAGAGAAAAAACCGTCAAGAGCTTGACACGAACACCGACAACATCTCGCGACCTTCCACTGCGCACTGCACAGGGTGTATGCCGAGTGTATGCTTTCTAAACATTTTGCATTTTTTGGCGTTAGGCATAGGTCAGGTCAGGTAGAAGGCCAGGTTAGGCGTAGATCAGGAACTGAGGCGACCAAATGTTTCGGCTGTGAGCGCGCTGGACATTCGTTAAATCCTGAGGCCTGAGCATGAATTGGTGTGTTGTCAGAGGCGCTATGGAGAAGACTGGCATGCGAGTTTGCAAGAACGATGCTCGGTTACATCCCGCGTGGCCGTTCTTTTCGTCATAAGTTGGCAGACTATCAACATTCGCACGTAATGCAAACAATACCTACGAATCATTGCCTGCACCATTAAAGCAACCACTCGCCATGGCGGCGTACTTCTTAGTGTTGAAACCATGGTTTCTCATTATCGACCGGGTGTTCTAAAAAACATCGGAACATTAAAGGAACCCATAGGCCATGAACGTAGGCCATGTACACCTGAGCGGGGGACGTGGCCGGCTTTGGTCGGAGCTGTGCTCCGCGGAATTTGCCTGGTGGAAGACCAATGTCGCCCAGCGTGTTCGTAAATCCCGACATTCATCTCGCGCCGCTCGGTGATTGTGGTCGTCTCACTGCCGAGACGGCTGCTGTCCGTGACCTTTCCCGCCCGCAGCGGCGCGGGATTCTGACCTGGCGCCGGAGCGCCCCCTCCCCCATGGGAGCTGTTATTGCCCGCTGCGGCGGCGGACATCTGGCCTCGGCGCCGCTCCCCGAGGGGCCTCGCTCGAGGCCGGTCGGCGGCTGGCCCACGCTGTGCCGCTGACCCGTGGCGATGGTGCGGTGACCTAGTCTGAGTGGTAACCGGCGGCCGTCCGAGGATGGCTCAGCGGCAGAGGCGAGTGGCGCCCGGATATCGGCGGTAGGTGGTCCGCAGCAGCCTGTCTGGTCTGCGGCCGGCAGACTCCGCTCGTTGCCGGTCTTTGCTTAGCATTGGCACGCCATGTCTAACCGGACGCTGTGCAGTTTGTTTTTGCTTTTGCTCAGGGTTGTCCCACCTAAAGAGTACTTCATCATCTGTCTGCCTGGGTCCGTCCTCTTCCACGGCATGGGTTCATTTTGATCGGATACCGCGATGGCGGTGCCCCATCATTACCCCATCATTCTGACATGCTTAGTCTGGCAGGCCACATACATAGTCCCTACCTCAGCGATGTATTTGCGGTCTGTCGGTGTGCAACGTCAGCGATTGGCATGCCAGCTGCGAGGAGGAATTTGTAAATCATAAAATGATGAAAATGTGTTACAATTGCCATTTTTATCTATGTTTGAACATATTGAAGCAATCATCAGACATGACGAAAAAAGCTCACTTTTCACTTTTGGTATAATGAAAAGGGAAAAAGGCTGCTCTAGGTAACAAAACGGCCCTGTTTAAGAAATATGCTTCTTAAAGCGTCATTGTTTGATTGCGTCATCGTACTTTACACAACATTAATTAAAAACCAGTTGATGGCCGTTATATCTTGAAATGGCCCTCACGAACGCCACATATGAACGACTTGACCACTATATTTTTCTCGGTCTTGAGCGCCACATGGCTTATGGAATGACAGGATTTGAATGACGTGATTATGACGTCATGAGTGCCAAGGTGACCTTGAAATTATCTCCCCATTGTTTGGGGCACGTAGCTCCAAAACTAGAGGATCTTGTCTTAAGGACAGGGCTGTGAACTGACCTTTCCTTAAGACCAAAAGATCTTTAAGATTGTTTTTTCAGCTTAAAACGCCCTACAAACACTCCCTTTAAACACGGATCTCAATGATCATCAGCGCCAGATGATAATGAAACGAACGCTTGCAATATGCTGCCGTTGTCCATATTGGATGTTCTGACAGAATGAGCTGACAGCAATTGGGCACAGATGACAACAATGACAGTGAGTTATTTGGATATTGCCAGTTGTCTGGGCACGTCAGTGATCCGCTATATTTGCGGCTGATGACGACGTTGAGCGTTTATTTTAGAAACAACATCATTGGAATAAATGGAAGAACTGATCCCACATCAAATATCAGGAGGGCTGAGTTTTGAAATGCATCTTCAATTACGCGGAACAAATTCTGTAGAGTTAGGTTATGCGTCACATCCATTTGAACCGGTGTGTAAACGTATATGTAAGATTCATTCAATCTATTGACCACATATGACACTGATATGTCATAACGTTACCCAATTTTACACCGATCCTAGTCGAAGAAAGCCGCGTGGCGTGGTGTCGCAGATGGTATCCACTCCCCGAGCTCTCATTGGTAGGTTTGGTATCCTGCCTCAAGGCCACGTCACCACGAACCAACCCGTGCTAGTATTTGGATACGCGATATCGAAAGTCAATATTGTCCCACGGAAAGCGAGCACTGTATCGGCCATGATTTCCACTATGCAGGCGCATATCAAAATGCTCTTGTAACTGTTCGATGCCGAAATAGGTGTATACGAACACAGCAGCCGCAGCATCCACGTATCGTTGTAGCGCGAGGTTTGAACGGTCTGCCGACTGCGAAGCTTGCTACTAAATTCCTGTGATCTGCCTCATATTTTGTCACTTGCTTCCCTCCTCTGCGACCTGCGTCCCTCTCATGTGGCCTGAGCTCCACCTCTGTGACCTGCGTTACTCCTTCTCTACCTGTGTCCCTTCTCTGCGACCTGCGTCTTTCCTCCGCGACCTGTGGCGCTCCCCTGAGACCTGCGTGGCCTTTCGTGATCTTCCGTTACCTCGGCGTGCCTGGTTGCCCAGATCTGGCCGGCAGCAAGGTCATGTTTGACGAGAGGGGCGACGGCCTGGCTCGGTACACCATCTTCAACTACCAGCGATCGGCGGACGGAGCGCATCGTTACAAGGCGAGTATGCAGGCGTCGTATTGATGTGTGATGTATGTTAACACTGGCCGGTATTGGTCAAGATGTTTCTGACGGGAAATTTGCTTCTGGCGGGTTCGGGTCCTTGGCGATAATCCCTGCAGGCTGCGACGAGTTGTTGGATTACACGTTGTTGACTGCAGCTAGATAACTTTATGTGTTGGGTGAACCCATTAGTGCCAATGTAGAATGAGGCGGATCTGGGTGCGATTAGGTGTGAGACGTAAACGAAATTCCCGGGCGGATGCACTGCTTGGAAGTTACTTAGTCAAAAGTAGCTCCACTCACACTTGATTTGACATCATCAGTGGAAACAGCAAGTTTGCCGTAAACTTCAATGAACCTCGTTGATAAGTCCGGGACAAAAATCATGAGAAGTCCGAATAACCGGGTTGCAAGTGATTACAGTTGATTGAGAATGCGTAGCGGGTAGGTGGGGGCGCAGCCACAGCGTAGCAGACGGTTGAGGAAAGGATATATAACCCTTCTGAAATGTTTTGGCTCAAATATGGAACCCATGGAGGGCCAGTCTGTTGTGCGACACATTTATCATGACATTTTTAGCCCGTAGCGTTCCCATAGTGACCCAAGACGTGGAGACATTTCAGTTGTTCTAGGCGTGCTACATTGAAATTCTACGTCCTGGGGTTGAACACCTGGCTGGTTGGGTGAGGGACAAAACCACTGAGCTGCCTTGGACAAGCCCGACAACTACTCTCCTGCTGCAGGTGATCGGCCGCTGGGAGGGTGAGCTCTTCATGAGCCCGGGGGACGTCCAGTGGAACCCGGGCAGCGAGCCCACCGCGCCGGCGGCCGGAGCGCGGGGGAAGCCCGCCGCCCCAGCCTCGCCGACCGAGCCGGAGCGGCTCGACAGAGGCGCCCGCCTGCCGCTCTCGGTCTGCGCCCTGCCCTGTCAGGTCGGAGAGGTCAAACGCATGCAGCAGGTGAGAGCGACGGGACACGGGGTCAGGAGGCTGTCTGGACGATCACGTCATTCGACGACTGTCCAACATGCGTTGTCATTGTCACCGAACCGTTGGCCATTGACCACTGTCATTTAACAGCTGTTTCTAGACGCTTATGTTCAGTTCATTTTTCCCACTGCCGAGCGTTGTAGGAGAAAGCGATAGTTGTTGACAGCAAAAATAACAAAGCTGGTATTGTCCCATTTCAGCGCACACCAATGACCGATACCCATTACCTGGTGCATATCCCAACCCAACACATTAAAACAATCGCGACGATAGAACGGGCCGAACAGCTCAGCAGCCCGATGGGGGGGGGGGGGGAGGGGGAGAGGGGAGGGAGGGAAGATAAGCAGCACAAAAAATCACAGAATCCATGCACGGAGCACTAGTTGTAGAGCAACAGGCGGCAGTGGGGTGAACAGTGTCAGGTGGGCTCTGCCAGCCGCTGCCTTGTCATCAGACCGAACACGCTTGGACGGACATGGACGAGCACGTACACGTGGATTTCGGCCTCAGGCGGCACCGGTCAGCCGGCAGCAGGTCAGCTGATCACCGGACGCTGATTGGTCGTCTAGTCACAGCTGAAGGATGCAAGCCCGACCAGGTGTTCGGGGGGGGGGGGGGGGCACACGCGACCCGCGCCTCTACCGCCTTTCCAAGTTGCACGGACGAGACGCCGGATTATGGGAAAAGCTCAATAATTAGGTCGCATGTTATTGGTCGGCCATACTCGGCTTATTTGTATATGGTATTGTATTGTATGGGCCCCATAGTCGCCACTTCGGACCTTAAGGTGCACTGTTGGTCAGGGAACTAGAAAACCCCACCTAATGTTGCAACAGTCGTATTGCCTTTTGGATGCACGCTAAAAAACGGACGCAGTGGATACAGACATTGACCTGCGACCACTGGGAGGGGAGGAAAGAAGTGCGGGTGGGGGTGTGGGTGTAAAACAACGCAAAGACAAAGGACGTCCCAGTTTTTATTGGGGCATCAGCTTCTAATTCACTATACATGGACCAACTGAATTTTTGTTAGCTGTCAAGTGATTTCTTTCTGACAGCATCCTGACGGACATATTTCGACCCTAAATAGGGTTGCGAAAATAACACACGAAAGGTAGATTTCCAGAGCGGTCCGCTTTTAGAGGTTGTGATTCGCAGCATCACTGTTGCTTTATTGCTATTTTGACGTGATTCCGACATTGGTCAGACCGAACAGTTTTCTCCAGGTCCGGTCCTCCGTTCATAGAAATCCTTCGGCGCGGAGCGTGAATTGATTGGCAACAAACGCGGCCCTACAAGCCTACAAATGTCGGGAAAATTACAACAGGTTAAAAAAGAAAGTTAGAGGTTTAATAGAACAAGTTGTGTTCTACTTTGCGGTATTTGTTGATCACTGAATCTTTTCGGATGCAATTTTTCCGTCCAACATTGGGAAAAACGTGGAAGTGTAGACTAATAGAAAGAAATTATTATTGATTGATTGTCATAGAGAAATGATTATTAATTTGTTGATGACTTTTATGGCAAAATACTCCATTTTTCAAGACGTGGCCAGTTGCAGGACACTTAACCTATGGGTTACGTGCTGTCATGCTATGTGTTTGGAATGAGCCATGATTTTGGCTGGCGCTTCCATCAAAGTATATGACAAATCGTTGACTGCTGCTTCGCAAATCTCGGGAGGACTGTGGTGCAGGGCCAGATCCAGCCGACAGGACAAACCTAAAAGACACTGAGAGCATAGGTTTTTCCGCTTTAAATCCTGTTTTCGTGAATTCGTGGTCTCATTCAGAGCTTAGATCCTTCCCACATAAAGTGCTGGATCCGCCATTGGCCGGAGAATGGCTGTTGGCTGCGTGGGTACGCTGTTGGGACCCAGAGCTGGACTGCGTGAGAGATGGGCGAAATTATTATAGCAAGGTATCTGGTCACCTTTAAGTGGTTGTCAGATAAGCCTGCAGTGCCGGACCTCAATTTGTGTTCGCTACCTGTTTGTAGCAAATAGGACCGTAACCCTAAAACATAGCCAGGATAATCAACCGTGGTCGACCCATCATGGTTCACAATACGTACTGTGACTCGGAAAGCAGAAAGTGCCCATAAAATGAGCTCACATGGACTTGACGTGAACCAAGTATCACCCTGACTCGACGCCTCATCTATGCTAACAACATGGCGTGTATGTGAAGTGAATGAGATGGCCACGCGCGCAGCGCCAGTGGCAAAGCAAGATGTCCGTTTTATAGGCTCTACGCCACCCCGACCTCGTTAAAGGATTCTCAGGCTTAGCAAGATACTGAACAGGATCTTGAGCATAATCGGCTGCGAATGGAATGTTTTGTTGGCGTGCATAGCCAGGTCATCGATTGACGTTTACATGTGCTTGATCTGACGATGAGATCACAAGTTCATGGCGAAGGCAAGTGTGGATCAGGCAGGTGCTGTTGACAAAGTGCTCTCAATGGTACCAGTGTGATCACGCCTTGGGAGCATGCCAAAAAATGTAAGGTGGATAAACAAGATGTGGCTATAACAGCAACACTACTAGTTTAACATTTCCAGCAGTACTGCCCGTGCAATCTGGATAGCTTTGCTTTGTTGCATTGCTGGCATTCTGAGAGTCGTGAAGACTATTCGAGAATCAGCCAGGAAGGTATTTCACCGCTGATGCCCGTCGGGCTTTGATGCCAAACTTCCACACCACCCATTGTGAATATTCCCGGAAATCTCTCCGGAATGATGCTCTCTACCTCTAATGGGTCGGCCTCCTGTTTATGTCAAGCCTAGCTTTTGAAAGGCAATCTGTTTTAGACAGGGCGAAATTGACAGCACGCTATCACACCCCATCGTCAAAGGGTAATGAATGCCCACAATGAAGCTGAGATGGTCGCCCGCCTGCAAGTACTTAGCTGCACGTCACCAAGCCTTTTTAGAACAGATCGCGCACACATATCCTGCCTTCCTCAGGAGGGACTTTTGAGATGCTCTTCTAGAAGCTCTGCAGCCTCACGCCTTTTTCAGGCGATAAGCTCCGTGATTATCCCTGAGTTTGAAAGGACTGGCTGCCTTAGTTGGTAAGTGCCCGTACTCTACCCTCGATTTCCGCGAAAAGTGTTGCTATTTCTCGGATACCATTCGACGGTTGGCTGTGTTCAGGGATACCGAATCAGCAGCTGGCGTTTGGAGTTTCATAGATGGGAAAAAATTTACTTTATGTCGTAATAAATTTAGTACTTTCATATGACTTGATATACCATAATGTTTGCGTAGAATATGACAGTTCACACAGTTGAATGTGACAGCGTCTTGGTATATGTTATACGAATTTATTATTTGCCGGTTCCGCACTTTTTCCCTGCAGACAAGATTGGGGACGGCTGGTCATACTGGCCAACAGGAGGATGGAGAGCTGCCCGCTTTCTCCAGTGCGGCTCCAGTGTGGTGCAGCTAGGTCTTAACACACTTCATGGATTGAATTTTCAGCATCCGGTTCAATCCAATCAGGCTAGTCCAGGTCCCATTCGCCCACCAGTCCGCTTTTCCCAGATTTGTTTCAGTCCAATGCGGTTTGGTCCGCCTTATCAGAAAACATCATGAAATGAATCCGTGCTAATCTGCTTCGACGTGCAAAATTTTCAAAATTTTGAGAGCAAATTCAAGATTCAATGTTTTTAAATGTGGAACACTCTCTTTAAGATGATGAGAGAAACCAACCATCAGACATGATGAAATAAGTTCACTTATGACTGTTGGTATATTTTTGGGTGGAAAAGGCTGCTCTAGACAACACAATTTCTCTGTTTAGTAAACATGCTCCCCAATACGCCATTGTTTGATTATGTCATCGTACCTTATCCAACATTGATTGAGAGCCAACGGATGTCCGTTGTATCTTGAAATCGTGCTCACGAACGCCAGATATAGGCACATTGACAATTATATTTTTCCCATCCTTGCTCGCCGTATTGCATTTGAAATGGCATACCTGAATGCCGTTATTATGACGTTATGAATGCTAATGCGACTTTGCAATACTTTCTCAGAAATACTCTCCTCATTTTCGCGGGCCTGTAGCTCAGAAACTAGACGCGTTCAGGTCTTAAGAAGGGCAGAGCTGTGAACTGCGCCGAAATGCCTTCAAGAATGTTATTTCAGTTTAAAACCCCATACAAATATGGAACACGTCCTTTAACTTCAATGAATTTGTTGATTTTCATTGGAGAAATATGCGCAATAATTTGTCGCAACCAGTGTGGGCTAAGATACTCACAGCTAGTTATCGGCCAGGAATGCAGGTTGTCCTTAAGATTAGAACAACTCTGAGCTCATAAAGACTATCATATTATTAATCACATCACAAAAAAATTCGGCAAATAGTTCACAAGCAAAGCGTCGGTTTTGATGATGGCTAATGAGTTATTCCTGTGTGTTCGCACCGATTTAGATCATTTTCACGCTCATGTTTTGCAGCTGATCTCGCTAACATCATAAAGCTTGTCACTGTTAGCTGAAAAGCATACCCGTGATAACGGATACATGATTGAGAAAGGGTTTTCCATCCGCCCGCCGCCTTTTCGCCCGCCGCCGCGATCGGGACCGACATCGATCGTCAAACTGGGAGTGGTAGACTGTGCCGCCCACTAACCTTGTTCGGCGGGTCTGTATAACTCACCCGAGCACAAATCGACGCGTGAACGACGCGTGAAGACACCGGGATCCTAATGGCGGCACTCCGCTTGGTGAGGGTCATGTCCGGCGCATTCTGCTTTGCAACCGTCATAATGTATATATGTATATATATATATATATATATATATATATATATATATATATATGTATATATATATATATAAAATATGGTATTTATATATCATATTATATATGTGTAAAGATTCAATAAAACTAGCAACAGGTATGCTGACTTTTAGACGACTGTGAAACGAGCAGTGACAAAGCTCGATGATCCAGGGA